TGATGGAGGTGATGGGGATGATGGAGGTGGAGGTGATGGAGATGGGGATGATGGAGGTGATGGAGGTGATGGGGATGATGGGGGTGGAGGTGATGGAGATGGGGATGATGGAGGTGATGGGGATGATGGAGGTGGAGGTGATGGAGATGGGGATGATGGAGGTGATGGAGGTGATGGGGATGATGGAGGTGGAGGTGATGGAGATGGGGGATGGTGGGAGACGATGGGGATGGGGACGACGGAGGTGACGGTGGTGGGGACGATGGGGGATGGTGCAGGTGGAGCTGATGGAGCTGGGGACAGCGGAAACGATGGAGCTGGGGATGCTGGAGCCGGCGATGACGGACCTGGTGGTGGCAACCTCAGGCCGATGGGGTTTCAGCGGGTGCCCTGGGTGGCCGCTGACGGTGCGTGTGCCGGCAGATCGAGGAGATCGAGCGGGAGATCATCAAGCAGGAGGAGAACGTCGACCCCGACTACTGGGAGAAGCTGCTGCGGCACCACTACGAGCAGCAGCAGGAGGACCTGGCGCGCAACCTGGGCAAGGGCAAGCGGGTGCGCAAGCAGGTCAACTACAACGATGCCGCCCAGGAGGACCAAGGTGGGCGCTGGGAGGCACTGGGGAGGCACTGGGAGGACCTGGGAGGACCTGGGAAGGCACTGGGAAGGCACTGGGAGGCACTGGGAAGGCACTGGGAGGGTGCTGGAAGACACTGGGAGTTACTGGGAAGGGTTCTGATGCGCTGGGCACCCTTGTCCAGGAGAAGTGAGGTGGGTACAGGGCAGCTGGGGACACTGGGAGGCACTGGTAAGGGACTGGGAGGCACTGGTAAGGGACTGGGAGGTACTGGTAAGGGACTGGGACGCACTGGTAAGGGACTGGGAGGCACTGGTAAGGCACTGGGACGCACTGGTAAGGGACTGGGAGGTACTGGTAAGGGACTGGGACGCACTGGTAAGGGACTGGGAGGCACTGGTAAGGCACTGGGACGCACTGGTAAGGGACTGGGAGGTACTGGTAAGGGACTGGGACGCACTGGTAAGGGACTGGGAGGCACTGGTAAGGGACTGGGAGGCACTGGTAAGGGACTGGGAGGCACTGGTAAGGGACTGGGAGGCACTGGTAAGGGACTGGGAGGCACTGGTAAGGGACTGGGAGGCACTGGTGAGGGACTGGGAAGCACTGGTGAGGGACTGGGACGCACTGGTAAGGGACTGGGAGGCACTGGTAAGGGACTGGGACGCACTGGTAATGGACTGGGAG